CATGGTATGGGTTACATCAAGCTTCTCGAGCGTGGTATGCAACTCTCACAAAGCACTTTCTCGAGCATGGATATTCTCGTGGCACTATCGATCAAACCTTGTTCATCAAGCATGTGGGTAATGATCAGATTCTAGTTCAGATCTATGTTAACGACATTATCTTCGGGTCTATAAGTCCGTAGCTATGCAAAGAGTTCAAAGGTGTGATGCAAAAGACGTTTGAGATGAGATTGTTAGGTGAAATGACCATGTTTTTGGGGCTTCAGGTCCAACAAAAGTCAACTGGAATCTTGCTCCATCAAGCCAAGTATGTGGAGGATATGCTGGAGAAGTTCGGGTTCCGAGACACTAAACCTGCACTAACACCGATAACCGAAAGGCCCCTGCTGACTCCGGATACTGATGGAGAACCAGTAGATCATACCGACTATAGATCGATGATCGGATCGTTGATGTATCTAACTGCAAGCAGACCAGACATCATGTTTGTAGTTTGTCAATGCACTCGATATCAAGCCAATCCTAAACTTTCACATCTTATTGTTGTCAAAAGAATCTTTCAGTATCTGAAAGGCAACCCAAAACTGGGTCTTTGGTATCCGAAAAATTTTGAATTTGATTTATATGCTTTTGCTGACAGTAATTATGGAGGCTGTGAGCTTGACAGGAAATCAACTTCAGGAGGATGTCAATTTCTCAATGATCGTCTGGTATCGTGGCAGTGCAAGAAACAGCACACCGTCTTAACCTCAATAGTAGAAGTGGAATATGTTGTTGCTTCTGCTTGTTGTTCTCAAGTTATCTGATCCAACATCAGTTATTGGATTACGGTTTGAACTATCTAGAAACCCCTATCTTTTGTGATAATGAGGCCACAATTCAGATTGATAAAAATCCAGTCCAACATTCGAAAACCAAGCACAATGATATCAAAATTCATTCCATCAGAGATTGTTATGAGCGTTCGCTCATTCAGCTGTAACAGGTTCCTACTGTAGATAATGGGGCAGATCTGTTCACAAAGTCGTTTTACAAAGCTCGATTTGATGTGCTTGTGAGCTTTTTGAAAATGATACATTTTGAGGGCTAAATTTTTCTTTAGGTTAGTTTAAATTTGCGCATTTTAATTTCATTCTCACCCATGCACAAAGTTAGGGGGAGAAATAAACAAAAACCAAACAAAAATTCAAAATCCAAAAACATCAGAAAATCAAAAAACAAAAATATATGTATCTGATTGTTTTTGTTTGTAGGTGATGTGTTGGGAAGTGATATAATCATGTGATAACAGGCAATTTGAATCTATGCAAGGTACCAAAGTTGAATTGTCTAAGCTCTATGTTTGATGCGCTGGTTGGCATGAACGTTTTTAAAATGGACTTGACTATGATCAGATGAACTTAAGGAATCTAGAGACTTGACAAATCTTGACCTAGATATATCTATTTAGTCTGACAATATGATGATTGGGTAGGTTAAGCACGAAGATATATGTGAGAATCTACCGGTCACATTAAAAGAAACTGTATCTAGAACTGTGGTCTAACTTTTCCTTGATGTATGAATTTTTTCCTTAATTCCGATATTGATAAAGCGACCGGGGAATTCCGATAAATTAGGTCTGTAGAAAGTTATTTTCTTTCTTTCTTACTGTCAGTCATATGTTGCCTCCTCTATGTGATCGAAAGATCCGACTTGGCTTGGTTTGTGCAAGTTGAAATGGCATCTCTAAAATTTGCTAACATTCACAACTTGGCAATTCTTTTGGCTGATCCTTTTGTTGCTCATAGAGAGTTCAAGTCAATGATACATGGATTAAGGGAATGTTGCCTGACCACTGCTCTTATTGTGAATCCATCAATTTATCAAGGCATAATCAAAGAATTCTGGAAATCAGTTGACGTAAAGAAAGGATAAGATGGATCTGTATTTGTTAAAGCTACTGTAAAGGGTTGCAAAATCATCATAACAGAGCAATTCATCAGGGACATTCTCAAAATCGACGATCAATCTGCCTTCCCTACTGAGATTAAAATTAATCAAGTCCAGGAACTTCTCAACAAGATGGGCTATGAAGGTGAATTTCCTCCAACATTGAAGAAGCTGCTACTACCTTACTGGAGGTTCTTAGCTCATATCTTTGTGAGATTTATACCAGGAAGACAAACTAGTGCATATGAGATCTCTTTACAGAACACAGGAGCTATCACCCCTCTTGCTGTGGGATTTGACTTCAGTTTTTCCAAGTTCATTCTGGACGAGTTTTGTGGTGAACATCAAAGCGAAAACAAGAGACAAATTTTTGATGTATCCCAGGTTCATTCAAGTGTTCATCAATGAGCACTTTCCTACGATGGTCAAAGATGGGGAAACTTTAGATATGAAATCTCTTGGACCAAACACCGTTGGGCTAATCTAGCAAAACCGAAAGGGAAAAATTATTTTTCAAGGAAAATACCCCTTAGTGAAGTTTAGCGTTGTTTCCGAATTAAGTGAGGTATCTGAGTCCCATGGGTCTTCAGATCGTGTATCTTCAGATCATGTATTTTTAGAAGAAGATGTCATTCTCGTCTCAGATCATGAGGATAGTGTAGTTACTCCTATTGCTATAGTGACTGAAGAGCACACCCTGCAATCTGTGCATGTTGAGAGTGACTACAATGAGGGAACGATGGAGGATGCAACTAAAAATGAAGGAGATGATGATGATTCTTTTAATAATATTGATCTTTCAGGTTTTGAAAAGGATGACATTTCTTTGAGTCTTGGAGGCAATGACAACCTCTTGTCCAATGAAGACCTTGACTCGTTTTTTGATAGTATCAGTGATGTTGCTCATCCAGCAATAGAGATAAGGGATACATAATATATTCTTGAAACAATGCCTCCTACTTTCAACCAAATGGCTGACACTACAACACCTATGTAGACAACTTTAAGGATTCCTCCCCTTGAGGATGTTATTCCTACTACTGAGCCATTTTTAAGTGAACCGTTGACAACTCAAACCTCCCAGTCTCCATTGAAAAGGAGAAGACGGGATCCGAGGCAGGGAGTATTCATTCCAGAAGAATCTCAAGGCTATCTGACTAAACCAACAACTACTCCAACAACTTCTTTTGATGCTGATTCATCTGTACCATCCCATGAAGGACCAAGCACCATTTTGGATGTTGGTGGTTCATCAGCTCCCGCGGGATCATCTCCTCCTAAGCCTTTTCATGATGTTTCCTCTGAGAGGCTTGCTATGCATCTAGCCCAACAACAAAGCTCAGTGCCTTCCTCCCGCGCTAAAGAAATTTATATAGAGGAAAGCCTCTTAGGAGAGGATGATTCCACCATGCATTAACATAGAAAGGAGATCAGCGTGCTAAACCAGAAAAACATTGAGCTTGATATTCGTGTAGCCAATCTTGAAGCCGAAAAAGCTCAACTTAACATTCATATTGAATATCTTGAAGCAGATAAGACTCTGAAATTAATGCAAATCTCTGATCTACAAAAAACACATGGGAACCTTAACTGCATGCTATTTTGACTTGAAGAAGAAACTGACAGAGGAACTTGGCGACAAGTTCAAATCATCCGTTCAAGAATTCAATGTTGGCCAGTCATCTCAAGATCCCCCTGTTGTCCTGCCCACTGAAAGAAGAACTCAGATCGTTGATCGTTTTGAAAAGGAACCGGTTCAAGCACCCAACGTTGCTGCACTAAAACGTGCCAAATTAGTAGCATCCGACAAGGAAAAGCAACTTTTGTTCAAGAAGAGCTCAGATCAGAATGCTCCTAGAGATCAACCAGAGGTCACCATGATTGATCTTGAAAAGAAACGACTTGGTCACGAGTATGGGGATAGGACTGGAATCAAGTCATGGGGCTTTCATGATAAATTGAATATGTGGATCGTGAAACGCAAAAGTGGAAATGTGGAGTATTACAAAAATTTTCATGATTTCAGTTCTTAGACAAGAGTTGATCTTTCTAAACTCTCTAATGCTCCCTTTGCTAATCCATCAAATGATCCTAAAGCAACTCACTTCAAGATTTACTTGGAGAGTCAAGTAAAAAAAGGACTTTCCGAAATGAAGACTGTTGAATCCTTCATCAAAACATTCCCTGACGTACTGGATCCAAAAACTAATGAGCCTTTCCAGACAGTGATGTGGCCTCCTACTAAACAAGTGAGACATATTCCCATTGTGCGGAATTTTGATGATGGTTCTCTCAGGAATATGCTCTATTAGGATATACATCAGCTGGATCAACATCAAATCAAGGTAACTGAAGAAATTTTGAAGTTGCTGCTAAAGAGTACACTGCTATGGTTGCAGAAATCATTCAGAAGGAGATATGGCTCGGTTCCATGGGGGGTTCAGATATGCTTGTCATTGAGAGAGACAGAGTCAAAGATATCCTCAAACCAAGGGGGAGATTGAAGGGTCTAGTTTATGGTTTGGGCTAGGCTATCTGATGTATAGGTCTTAATGGGTCTTTTGTCATGTAATAGACTTGTTTGGATGTTTTTACGGCCAGCCTTTCCCCTATATATAGGGCATGTCAGAGTCTTTCATTAGTTGTTTTCAGTCGATAGAGTTTACGACCATTGTCCAAGTTGTACATGGAGTTTCTTTGATATAAACGTGTGCAAAGCTTGGTTTAATCTTCTTCTACTCCATTCTAATCTTGTTTGATTATTAGTTGTTTGATCGATGATTCGGATCCTAAATTATAGGGCCTTACACCACAAGCTAAGAACATTCAAACAAAAGCCTCAGAGGCCATAAAACGACTAAAAGACAACAAGACAAAAGCTTTAACAAGATTTTTCACACCCAGAAGGGTAGCTCTAAACAACTTCATACATTACCGACGACACCATCAACAGGACCACTGCCACCAACTTCATCACCACCGCCAACTCCACAAACCCCAGCACCAGTTCCTGCACCACCCTCACCCAACATACCCACATCCTCCTCACCCTCATCAAACGCGCATAATCATTTGACCCCATCAACATCCAAGTGACCTAACCCAAGCAAATCAGCAAAGTCCACTGTTGCGAAGGCTAACAAATCGTCATCCAAGGCCAACGTATGACTGGACCGCGAGTCGCTAGCCGATGGATCGTAAGTCCCAGCATCAACCTGAGTTTTGAAGCTGGCCCAACCTGACTCTTCCCCCGCAACAAAGGCAGCATGATGAATACGACTAATGCCACCAGTGAACTCGGGATGCTCAAGAAGTTTTTCCATTATACGCATAAGACCAACATGAAGGAGCCAACTACGGTCCGCCCTCAACACCTCCAATTCACGCTTGCGATCGGCAAGGTCCTGTTGGAATAGTGTCTAAAGCTGCAGCTATATTAGGCAAGTATTTTACCCGATTGTGCATGGTCCTTTTAGGTTGCCTTCACCATAGCAACTTGACAGGATGATTTCTAATGAGAGAAGAAATATTATTAATATATTATGAGAATAATATAAGGAATAATAATATTGTTATTTGATTAATATAAGTCATAAATTAATTAGGAATTAATTTGGTGACTTAAAGAGATTAATTAAATAAAAGGGCATAAACTGTCAATTGTATGATAGTTGTACTTTGGGCTATAATCCCTTCTGGATAAGGGGTGGACGGTTTTAGGGCTTTGGATAGACCTAGAAATCGTCCAAGGGTTATCATATGGAGATTGGATTGCTTAGGGCCTAAGTTATCCAATTAGGGTTTAAGGGTGAAACCCTAGGAGCCTCACTAGTATAAATAGACCCTTAAGGTCAAGGAAATCGGAACTCTTGCCTTTGGAAGAACCCTGGCCGACTTCTTGCCCTCTCCCCTCTCTCTCTAATCATCCACTTGCTAAGTTGGTGTTTGTAAGCCATTAGAGGAGTGATAATTGTGACTTTAAGCTCCAAGGAAAAGAAGATTCAAGCAAGCAACTTAAGGTAATCTTCTAGATCTATTTCTCTTATGTTATTACCTAGATCTATTGTTCAAAATTCTTGGATAAAATGCATGTTCAATTAGATAAACCTAGATCCAAGCATTAGGGTTTGTATGTGCACATAGGAATGTTCTTATGGCTCAAACCCATCAGTGGTATTAGAGCCTTGATTGGTTTCTATTGAATTGATGCATTGGTTGCTTGATTGTTGATTGCAAAATTCAATTTTTTTTCTTCTTCCTGATGAACTCGGCGACTTCCATAGTGGACTCGCTGAGTAGGCCTCAACTCGGCGAGTCCATTGTGGTACTCGACGAGTTCGAGCGTCAAACAAAGCTAGTTTCAGGATTTCGTGTTGTTTATCTTATGGAAACTTGCCTTTATCTTAAAGGTCAATATAAATCCGATTTTAATATATATTTGAGTATATTTTTGACCTAATTAAAGATATTTATCAATTAATTAAATAATAATTTCCTTATGTGATAATTGATTGATTATTTTAATTAAATTGGTAAATTGTTTTGCAAGAAACATTTAAATAAATCAAATAAAGATAATTATGAGATTAAATGGTCAATTTGAATTATTTGTTATTTGATCGCTTATGTTTTGAAAAGTTTAAAACTTGCCCTGAAGTTTTGAAATTTATGATTTGTGATTAAAATTTAAATTTGGACAATTTAAATTTCAAACCCTAGAATTTTACATGTTTAAAATTCAACCATATACTAATATAATATTACAAGATTTATATATATATATATATATATAATTAAAATGCTAGTCTTACCGTTAGTAGGCCTCATTCACGAAGTCGGTCTATAAGGTGGGTATAAGGTTGCGGCCTATAAACTGGCGCTTAATGGGTGTACACTCATACCCACCGCTTGCTTGATCGGTGGAGGGTCGTTAGCCGAATGGGTAGGATAGGGCAACCTCATCTCCTCATTAAATGTATAATATGAAATACAAAGTAACTACATGTTTTTCAAAATTCCCAATCGTAGTTACTTTAGGAAAAGTGAATTGATGTAATCCCATGAAATTACACTTTGCACCCTTGCTAAGAAGTTAGTGGAGCATGTGTGGTTTACCAGCACACTAAATGGTTCTAAGCAAAGGTGGCAAAGGGTGATTCATTGTTTATCATAGTTCGATGGAGCGTGTGTGGTTTACCGGCACATCGAATAGGTGATTGTTGCAATGAAGGCACCGTGTAGATTTGCATGGTTATTCACACCCACTTTGTGGTCCTCGGTATCCCAGTCACAAACGAGAGGGGCATATCGAGATTTAAACATGCCATTGAAAAGTTCAATGAATCTCATCCAAACCTAGGAATTCTCAATACATTTAGAACTTAAAGTTATGTTTTCATAATGGAGAATTAGTGAATCGTCGTTCACTTACCTTCCAATTATTTGCATGTTGGATTACGATATCCCTCTTCTAATATGTAAATATTGTTGTTGGATCCTAGCCCTAATTTTTCTTATTGGGTGATAATTAGGGATTCAATTTCTAATCTATCCTTGTCCTTTCTATTTGTAAATGTCGAACACAAACAACGTTGCTGCTCGTTCATTCACATTGATGAGCCTTTGCCAAAAGGTGAATTTCGATGGGACAAACTTTAGCGAATGGATAAGATACAGTTGCACAATTGCTCACTATGAGGACAAGGAGTATGTCCTCGATGAAAAGCTTGAGAAGATCAATCCAGAAATCGCTTCTCCGACTAAAATGATTGCTTTTGAGACTCATGAACGTGATGCGATGATGGTTCATTGTATCATGATAGCCACAATGAACGCCGAATTCCAAAAGTCCTACAAGGACATGTATCCGTATGAAATGCACCAAGACTTATTGGAGAGATACCATCAAAACATAAGGCAGGAACATTATGAGATCTTCACTAACATGATCTCTGCTAAAATGGGTCATGGAGAATCTCTAACCGTGCTCCTGCAAAAGATGCAAAGGTATGTCGATCGTCTTCGCAAGTTGAGTGTTGACTTTGGGGAAGACTTGGCTATCGACATGGTGCTTCACTCCTTGCCTCCGTGTTACAATCAATTTAGGATGACCTACCACATGAACAAGGAGGAGGTCACCCTATGTAAGCTCCAAGGTCTCCTTAGGGCTGCTGAGAGCAACCTCAAGGACAAGTCTGTTGCACAAACTCCCAATCCACCAGCTGCTCCTGTTTTGGCAATTAGGCAAGGTAGGGTTAAGAAGAGGAAGGTTCCGTCTAAGAGCTACCGCAAGGGAAAGTCCCGAGATGGTTCCTCTTCTAGTGGGACCAAAGTTGATCCTACTGAGCTTAACCCTAACCCAAAGGAGGCAGAGTGCCACCATTGCCACAAAATAGGGCATTGGAAGAGAAGCTGCCGAGAATACCTGCAAGCCATCAGGGAAGGAAAGATCAAGCCGTCTTTCGCAGGTATATACACAATTAAATCTAATGATTCATCTCATGCTATTTATTGGGTCCTAGATAGCGGATGTGGTTACCACATTTGTTCTGGATTGCAGGGGCTTAGAAGAAATAGGGATGTGGAGCATGGAAGAATAAATCTAATCATTGGGAACAGAAGATCGTCGCCTGTGACCAAGATTGGAGTGTATTATTTAGTGCTTAGTAATGGTTTATGTTTAGATTTGAATAATTGTTGCTACTCTCCAGAAATGGCAAGAAACAAAATTTTGTTTCATGGTTTGTTTAGACAAGGATTTAGATTTTCTTTTAATAATGAGAATGGTTCAATTTATGCTTATCTAAATGGTGTCTTATATTTTGAAGCAATGCCATGTAATGGAATTTATGAAACTGTTATGATTGTAGATAACCTAGGAAATGATGTTTTGTGCATGGATTCTTCCAATAGTACAGATAAAGCATCCTTGTGGCATTGTCATCTTGGACATGTCAACAAGAAGCGCATAGCCCAACTCTAAAAGGATGGAGTGTTAGAGTCATTCGACCTTAGGGAAGATGACACATGCGAGTCTTGTTTACTTGGAAAGATGACTATGTCACCCTTCACTAGCACATGTGAAAGGGGTGAGGGTTTATTGGACCTCATACATACCGATGTATGTGGACCCTTTAGATCAACCATGAAGGATGGGAACCGCTTCTATGTGACTTTTACCGATGACTATTGTAGATATGGGTATATCTACTTAATCAAGCAAAAGTCAAAAACGTTTGAAAAGTTCAAAGAGTTCAAGAATGAAGTGGAGAATCAATTGGGCAGGAAAATGTAGATTCTTCGATCCGATCAAGGAGGAGAGTACCTAAGTCTTGAATTCCATGACTATCTCAAAGAGTGTGGAATAGTTTCACAATTGACGCCACCTAGGACACCACAGTTGAATGGTGTGGCAGAAAGGCGTAATCGAACCTTGTTAGACATGGTCCGCTCTATGATGAGTCGTGCTTCACTACTTATCTCATTCTGGGGATATGCCTTATAGACTGCTGCCCATATCCTTAACTGAGTCCCTACTAAGAAGGTTGCCAAAACACCTCACAAGATGTGGACAGGGAAAGCTCCCTCGTTAGCACATATCAAGGTTTGGGGTTGTGAGGCTTTCATAAGACGAGATACTCACGACAAGCTCGAACGTCGTAGTGAGCGATGTATTTTCATCGGCTACCTGTAGAAATCCTTTGGATATCTCTTCTATAGACCGAAAGACAATGTTGTCTTTGTTGCGAGGAGAGGACTTTTCCGAGTGCGAGAACTCATAAGCTAAGGAGACAATGGGAGGCAAATCGAACTTGAAGAGATTCAAGAATCGAATGATGAAGGAACCTCTACCGCTGGCACTCAACCCGAGGAGGAAACTCCGGTTGAACCGATTGATGAGTCATTACCTCTTAGACGTTCCGAAAGAGTTAGAGTTCCACCCCAGTTTTATGGTTTTCATAATACTACCGAAGGGGACACGTATATTAGTGATGGTACACTAATAAATTTATATGAACCTAATAGCTATAAGGAAGCCATTGCAGGCTCGAAGTCTGCAAAATGGAAGGAGGCAATGGACAGCGAGATCCAATCATGTATGACAACCAAGTTTGGAATTTGGTTGATAATGTGCCCGGACGTAAGACCGTTGGGTGCAAATGGATCTTCAAGAAGAAGACCGACTTGGATGGAAACGTACACACATATAAGGCGCGATTGTTTGCGAAGGGCTTTACTCAAACTCCCGAAGTTGACTATGATGAGACCTTCTCACCAGTTGCGAAAATAAAGTCTATTAGAGTGATGCTGGCAATTGCCGCATTTCATGATTATGAGATTTGGGAAATGGATGTCAAGACTGTTTTCCTTAATGGGAAGTTGGCTGAGGATGTTTACATTGTTCAGCCAGAGGGTTTTGTTGATCCGAAGCATCCAAATAGAGTGTGTAAGCTTGAGAACTCCATTTATGGACTTAAGCAAGCGTCTCGCAGATGGAATCTTTGCTTCGATGAGAAAGTCAAAGAATTTGGATTTGTACGAAGCGAAGATGAATCATGTGTGTATGTCAAAGCCAGTGGGAGTATAGTAAGCTTCCTCGTTCTGTATGTTGACGACATACTACTCATAGGAAACGACGTCCCGACTCTGCAGGAGGTTAAGTCCTGGCTCAGGAAGTGCTTCGCTATGAAGGACCTCGGAGAGGCTCCCTATATTCTAGGAATAAAGATAGTGAGAGAACGAAGTAAGAGACTAATAGGACTTAGTCAGAACACTTACTTTGATAAAGTACTGAAATGTTTTAGTATGGAAAACTCGAAGAAGGGAGAATTACCGATACAAAGTAATGCCAAGTTGAGTAAGACTCAAAGTCCGAGTACCGAAGCTGAAATAGCAGAAATGAGCCGGGTCCCATACACTTCCACAGTTGGCTCAATCATGTATGCTATGACTTGTACTCTCCCTGATGTAGCCTTTACTTTGAGCATGGTTAGTAGATATCAAGGGAACCCTGGCAGAGCCCATTGGATTGCGGTCAAGAATATCCTTAAGTACCTTCGGAGGACCAAGGAATGGTTTTTAGTCCTTGGAGGGAGTGATGACTTGAAGGTGCGAGGGTATAGTGACGCCAGTTTTCAGACCGACAGGGACAACTACCGTTCACAGTCGGGCTGGGTCTTTACCCTGAATGGAGGAGCAGTAACTTGGAAAAGTTCCAAGCAGGAAACCGTAGCTGATTCAACGTGCGAATCAGAGTACATTGCAGCGAGCGAAGCGTCAATGGAGGCAATATGGTTGAAGAACTTCATCGGTGATCTTGGAGTTGTACCTGCCATAAAGGAGCCTATGGAAATTTTCTGTGACAATGAATGAGCGGTTTCCTTGACCAAGGAACCGAGGGATCATGGTAGATCTCGACATATCGACAAAAAATATCACTTTATTAGACATCGAGTAGAAGAAGGAAAACTTGTGGTTAAGAGGATACCATCAGAAGATAACCCAGCAGATCCGCTTACGAAGGGACTGAGCAGGGTTAAGCACTTGCAGCATGCTAGGAGTATTGGGCTGAAGGATGATATTAGTTTAGATTAGATAGTATTAGAAACGTGTAATAGATAAATGTAATTAACATTTGATGATTAAATAAAGGAGTGTTATTTATGAGTAATGTTACTGTCTTATGTTAGTTGTTTAGCTATTGTTTCACTTTGCATGTTTTGACTTCTAGAATAATTGAGTTTATTAAGAATAATCGAATTATTCAAATTGTCCACAATCGTTCATATGTTGGAAGTAGGTATGAATCAAGATTGTCATGAATTGGTGTGTAGATTGTCTAAATGGTATTAGACATAAGAAAAAGTTTGTTGCGACGTTCATGAGTGCTTATGAACTAGTTTTGAGCATTGGAACAAACCCGCGCTTGCTAGAATCACCTTATGGAATGTGATAAAAAGGGTGATCGCAAGACGATAATATCATATGGTCTTAAAACCTAGATATATGGTTTGTTATTTGTTAATTGGCTGTATATTGATAATGCGAAACCGCATCAGTAACTTGATGTTATAAAATGCATTGTTCTGTATAGTTGATTAATGAATAAGTAAATGCATGTAAGTCGAAGTTTATCTGTTACTTTTATCCTAAGAGGGTAAAAGCGATATCTCGGCCGCTCGATGATTTGATTTGACTTATGTGCTGGGCCCGGTCAGAACTGAATTGATGTGTTCGATTAAGTTCTATGTCGAATAAATCTGAGATCGAGAAACCAACTGCTAGACAATAGATTCCATAGAATTGTCTGCATGATATTTAAACAGAGAACTATACGATCCCTTATCTAAAGGAGACAACTGATAAGATCAGAGTTTGATAGCGTCTTTGAGAGCTACAATTGCTAATCGGATTATACTTGTGTATATAGTTACTAGACTTATCCAAGTGGGAGACTGTTGGAATAATGTCTAAGGCTGCAACTATATTAGGCAAGTATTTGACCCAATTGTGCATGGTCCTTTTGGGTTGCCTTCACCATAGCAACTTGACAGGATGATTTCTAATGAGAGAAGAAATATTATTAATATATTATGAGAATAATATAAGGAATAATAATATTGTTATTTGATTAATATAAGTCATAAATTAATTAGGAATTAATTTGGTGACTTAAAGAGATTAATTAAATAAAAGGGCATAAACTGTCAATTGTATGATAGTTGTACTTTGGGCTATAATCCCTTCTGGATAAGGGGTGGACGGTTTTAGGGCTTTGGATAGACCTAGAAATCGTCCAAGGGTTATCATATGGAGATTGGATTGCTTAGGGCCTAAGTTATCCAATTAGGGTTTAAGGGTGAAACCCTAGGAGCCTCACTAGTATAAATAGACCCTTAAGGTCAAGGAAATCGGAACTCTTGCCTTTGGAAGAACCCTGGCCGACTTCTTGCCCTCTCCCCTCTCTCTCTAATCATCCACTTGCTAAGTTGGTGTTTGTAAGCCATTAGAGGAGTGACAATTGTGACTCTAAGCTCCAAGGAAAAGAAGATTCAAGCAAGAAACTTAAGGTAATCTTCTAGACCTATTTCTCTTATGTTATTACCTAGATCTATTGTTCAAAAGTCTTGGATACAATGCATGTTCAATTAGAGAAACCTAGATCCAAGCATTAAGGTTTGTATGTGCACATAGGAATGTTCTTATGGCTCAAACCCATCAGGTCCTACTCCAGGCTTTCATTTTGAATCATCAAACATTCATTTACTTGGGTCAAAGACCCCACTTGTCCCTCCAAGACACTTCTCACGTCCTCTAATAGCAATTTCTCTGAAATCAAAGACCTGTTCTCCTCCTCTAACCGACAAACGGCGACACTTAAGTCAAACGAGGGAAGAATGCACATGCTCCAACTCATCAAACCGCTGCACACGATGGGATCCAGGGGAATATGCAAGATTATAAGCCAAGACAACATTGCTCATCGAATCCATATTATCCACGGTGGTAGGAGGAAGAGCATGACCAGAAAGTCCCAAGCAACGGAACGAACAGACAAACGACAATCAAAACGTAAGCTCCACCCAGGAACAAACACAGGCGCGTTGCGCAACGCACCCACCACAGAGGGCCCGTGGAACAACCGCTCAGGGCTACCCCTCGAAGACGGAGGGCTGACGCCAGTGCCCAAAGAAATCAGTATGATGGGTTGATGAAGCCCCCCTTCGACACCCTCAGACTGTTTCACATCATCATCGGGTATCACCAACACATCCCCCGGGCTGGACGGTGCAGACGACAGTAGGTGCATAAGACTACGATGCTGTTGATGGGTTTTAGCCATAAGAACTTTCCTATATGCGCATGCAAAACCCTAATGCGTGGATCTAGGCTTTCTAATTAAACAAGCTTTGAATCCAAGACTTCTAATGGCTAATTAGGTTAAATAACAACATTAAAACATATCTAGAACCATACCTTTGAATTCCTTGTTGATCTTGTACTCTTGGAGCTTCTAGAGTCACAAATGTCACTCCTCTAATGGCTTACAAACACCAATAGCAAGGAAGATGATTTATGAGAGAGGAGAGGGGAGGAAATCGGCCAAGGTTCTCTTAATTTAGGTGAGGTGCCGATTTCCCTTAGCCATGGGGTCTATTTATACTTGTAGCCTCCTTAAGGGTTACAATCTAAACCCTAATTGGATAATATTCTCTTAAGGCTATTCAAATCCTTTCCTTAGATAAGTCATGGACGATTTTGAAGCTATCCTAGCTTCTAGAATCCGTCCACTATATATCTATAAGGATTTATAGTCTAAAGCTTAACTTTCAAACAATTGACAGTTTATACCCCTTTATTTAATTAACCTCTTTAAGTCACCAAATTAATTCCAATTAATTCTATGACTTATATTAATCAAATAACAATATATTATTCTTTATATTATTCTCATAATATATTAATAATATTTACTCTCTCTTAATAAATCATCCTATCAACTTGCTATGGTGAAGGCAACCCAAAAGGACCATGCACAACCGGGTCAAATACTTGCCTAATATAGTTGCAGCCTTAGACACTATTCCAACAGCTGCATCATACGCCGCCCGATGAGTCCCGAACCACCCCCAAGAGCCGGACCACTCATCGCCTGCACAACTTTCCTTTTTTCCGCAACCTAACGATCGCCAACCACAATCCCAACTTTGTTGTCCACCACACCGTCAGTCGCCAGCCCAGTAGAAGAACGGGAAGCTGTCGGAGGGGTCGTGACGGTATGGGAACTCAACTGACTTTCCGATGCGATAGAACTCCCCACGGGTTGTGGGGGCACCCGAACAACATTAGTCAAGCGACGGGGAGGAGGCAAAGTCTCATACAAATTCACTACATGATGCTCCAACTTACCCTGGTAACAACCCCGCAACACGGAATCCATAGAGACAGAGCATTCAACACCGGACAAAAAAACGGAGAAGACAACCGTGAGAAAGTAAACGTAAACGAGGCCTCCTTTTAAAAATATAAAAATTAATAAATAAGAAGAAAAAGGAAGGGGGAGAAGGAGAAGAAAACATAAACGAAAAGCAAGAGCGACTCACCGTTAGAGACAGTATAAAACACAGATATCTCTCCCCGAGAGCGCTAACTAGGGCTCATCCCAACACCGGCAAGTATGGCCTCCGACATCATATCAACGTCTACCTGGAGAGTACGCAAGAGATCTGCAATCGCCTGGTTGTGAGGAAAGAGTTTAGGGATGGTGTCGGAAAGTGTCGTCACCCGGGGGTACTCACGGCCGAGTAGCTTCTCATTGACCCACAACCACTTATCTTACCAGTTCTTGGGAGGCTTACTGTCAACAACGAGATTATGGCCTCCTTAACGGGAAGAGAAGGTATATTTGTCGTTGGTGGCGCCGAACCGAAAAAAGAACTTGAAGATGAAGTAGTCAGGAATGATGTTGTTAGCCCGACAGATCATCTCAAAGGCCATTATCTTATGAACAACACCCGGGGTTAGCATCTGGACATTGCACCCATTACACCAGAGGATTTCTTCTTGAAAGGCATCAATGGTTTTCAAATAAATGCCCACCTTCCCAGCCGAAGGTCGAGTGATCAAAGAACTAGGGGCTGGAAACTCCACTCCATCAGCTGGAGTAAGGCCGTAAGCCTCCTGAAGGGTGTCGAATTCAGAGGAACTAGGGGTCAAAGTCTGAGCAGATGCCATAACAAAGAACAAGAAGAAGAAAAGAAAAGAGGGAGTAAAGAGACAGGGTAGGAAAGGAAAATTTTACATCTTCGGAGATCCATTATTATCCTTGTTAGAAACAATAAAAACCAAACAAATAACTGCGTGAGGAAATACATCAAACACCTTATGTGCAAACACATTAAGGTCTAAACCATTCGTGTATATGTGTAAGGGTAGACAACAAAAACAGAGAAATCTATGCTAGGTGTGTATAAATTCACGATTCTTACCTTCCCGCCGATCTTGAAAAGGAAGTAATGACTTTTGGAAAAAAGGTTGACAACTAACAAAACTCGAAAAATTTAAAAATTGTGAACCAGTAACAAAAAAACTGGAGTAGAGAAAGATGGTTCCTAAAGACGGAAAGGGTACTCTCGTGGTTGTTACTAATGGCGGTGAAATAACACAATATGCACTTACGAGGGTTGTGGAGGTTGAAGATCGAAAATGAAGTAGTCTGTGGCTATTCGTTATGCCTGTGCGTACGTATAGCGAGGCAGAGAAGGATGAACAGAGAGATGGTGAATGGTGAAATGTATGCGTAGATTATGTATGGTGGGCATATTGTAACGATTGTGAAGTATCAATGGTGGTTCATTTATGGGGAGCATACTTGTAACATCCCGAGATTTTTGCAGGTATTTCTGAACCCTATTCTATCATTACTTTGTTAGTTATAGCCCCTCGGATTGAGAATGAAGAGCCGGGATAAGTTTAAGGGCCAAGCTTGCAAATTTGGGCCAAAAGGGAGTACACTAAGCGTACTAAGGTCTGACTTAGTATGTTGGGCATACACTTGTGTACTTTGGGCGTACTAATGTCAGGATAAACCCTAACATTTAGGGTTGGGGGCCTATATAAAAAACATTATAATCTCTAGAACCTCCCCTACCTCAGCCCCCACAGGTTATACTCATCTTTCCCAAACCCTAGCCTTCCCTTTGTGTGTTTAAGCTCATTTGATGTGTTCTTGAGTGCTTTAAAAGGAAATCATTGCAACAAAGAGTTGGAGGAAGAGACCAAGCTTGTAGATCTGAAGTTAGCTTGTGCACAAGAAGCTCCATAAGGTATAAAGTTCCAAACTTTATGCATATATGTTTAGATATCACCATTTTACTTTATTAGAATCATTTTGTCCCCAAAAGCCATTAAGTGGTGCATGTTGTGATTTGGATGAATAGGGTTGTCCTTCTAGACTCTTGAAGGGACCTTGAATGATAAAAATGAGGTCCTATTAGCTGAATGTGTCCCATGCATGGAAATATAAGGTCTTAATGGATTAAGACCAAGCATTAAGAACTTTATGGACGTCCAAAGTGATAAAGTTCATGACTTTATGGAACCTAGGCATGTTAGATCTCTAGATCTGAGGTTTGGGCTTAAGTGCTTAAGCCATAAGGACTTAATAAGGTTTTGCCAAACTATCTAGTACGCCTAGCAGAAATTCTTTACGCCTAGCGTACTGGGTCAACCACCCCGATGGTGGTCAACCTTTACATGAGTACGCCCCGCATACCAGATGAGTACGTGCCTTTTAGCAAATAAGCTTTGGGTTTGGGATGTTTATCGACTAAATGGAATTGGGCCTTTGATGGACTTTGTAAATAAGATATTTTGGGTTAGGTAGTGATAGTGGATCATGGGGTTAGGCCTAATAAGGAAGTTGGGTCCAATTTAGTAAATTGGGCCAATAGTGGACTTTATATTAACACTTTCAAGTCAAGGACTTGGTATTGGGCATGGACCCAATAAAGGGGAATGGACTTATTGAGGAATGTGGACACTTAGTCAAGGGAGTTGTGTTGGGTATTAACCTAGTATTTAATATGTGATAGTTCGGGATTGTCGGTGAGACAGCAGTCAGAGAGTTACAGTATTTAAACACTACTAGCGAGGTAAGTTGTCCTCACTATATCAACAGGGTCTAAGGCACCAATTCCGGCCCTTATCGGATTTGTATCCAGGTTTATTGCTGGATATGTTGTTGATTACATCCTAGTAGTAAGGATGGTTGCCATGTTAGAGATCGGTTTGATCAGTATCTTGGTTATAGGATAGTTGTTATGCTAGTGATTGGTTAGATCGGTATCCTGGGTATAGGATGGTTGTCATGATTAGCGATCTGTTAGATCTGTATGCTTAATTTCTTATATGTATGTGCACATGTTTATTGGTTTGAGGGAAAGGGTTGAGGCAGGTCCTGTTGTGTGCAGTAGGCCAAGACACCCTGGGCAGACCGGGTAGACTACACGCCCAAGCCAGGAAAAATCTAGTCAGGTTGAAGGCCTAGCGAGTGGTCTGGATAGGCTGAACGCCCCAAAGAGGGCGGTCCAGATGTGCCAATGGCTCGAAGAGCGGTCTAGATACACTAAGGACTGGGATTCGGTCCAGTTAGACTGTTGGCTCATTATGCATGCTGTATTTGTATTTGATATGGTTATATTTGTATGGCGTTGGTATTTTTGGGGAACTCACTAAGCTTTTAGCTTACAATTTCAGTTTATTGTTTCAGGTACTTCTAGTGATCGCGGGAAGGCGAAAGCATGATCGTACCACTCCTCCTGCTGTTATGATTTTATGATTTGATATTGGGATACTCTGATATTTATTATTTTGAAAACAAACTTTGTAATCTTAAATGGTTTGAAAAAGTTTAAATTTGGCATGATTTTTATGGTGTTACAAGTTGGTATCAGGGCCTTGGTTTGAGTGAATTGGAGGAACATTTGTGTGAATCCAGTCTCAAATCAAGGAAATATTTTCAAATTAAATTCTAAATGGTTTTCAAAATAAGTAAAGGAGGATGTAGGGTGTACGATCAGCCAGAGCCAGTAAGTAGGCCCCAAAAAACCATACAGTTATGTGATTATGTGATATGTTAGAACAACATGCTAGTACTAGGATAGGGATCTTTAGGAACTGTATGATATAATTTCCTGATTACATGATGTCTACTAGCCTAGGGTTTCCTTTATATGAGATTGACATCATCACTGTAGTTGCTTAGTGTATGCATCACGGTTATACATAATTAAGATCTTATAGCCTAAGCATGTTTGATTTAGCCTTATGTTTTGTTCTTGTTTGAGTGGGAGCTTAGGGTAGGATCAATTATTTTAGAAAGTCTAAGGGGTCCAACGTTATGTATGGCTAGCATACACTAGTGCTGCATCGTTGGTGGAAGTTTCATGGATGTATGAGTTGTTGGGATGAGTCCACCAGTTGTGAGATATTTAACCTTCCTCTAGGAGTGAGGACCGAGCGCATGCCATGCTGACATATAGTTTTAGGGCGTTGTGATGATACTTGAGACAAATATGGGTAGGTGTGGAAGGTAGTATGGGCATGTACTACTGAAAGTACATGACCCATATGTGTAGCAAGGAAGTCACAACCCTGGGGTTTTAGTTAGGGAATTGGTTCTCGGATTGTTAAATGGAATATACGATATCTGTTTGGTTTGATTGCAGCATGGTGGTTACACAACAAGTCGTGATTGGATCCGGGTCAGGATTAGAAGAGGGCGGATAAGAGGCATCGTCAGCACCCGAGACTATCGGCCAAATGAGATGGATGACAGGATCCATGAGATCCTACACGACGAGGTTGCTGCTATGTTCCGGGATCAGTTTCCGGAGATGTTCGGGTCTATCAAGACCGCTGTGGTGGAGTACTTTGATGAGCGATATGCAGCCCTCACTAAGGCGGCTGTCGCAGCAGCCACCGCGGCTGTATCAACAGTACGGTTGGGAGTCGGATGGGTTTTTCAATACCGGGACATTGATAACACGAAGCCCCCTACTTTTGATGGGATACAGGATCCCATCAAGGCTATGAGGTGGTTGTTTGATGTGGAGGGATGTTTCTTCACATGTTCATGTCCTGCTGCCTAGAGGGTTAGATGCGCCATGAACTTGTTATAGACTGGGGCAAAGGACTGGTGGAGGCTGGTGACAGGGTCATATATGGATGACCAGAGAGCTGCTATGACTTAAGAGCAGTTAAAGGATATTTTCCGCGCTTGCTACATTCCACGTGTCGAACGCGAGCGGTTGGCAAAGGAGTTCTTGAACCTGAGACAGGATGGTGAGTCAGTGACGGAGATCACACATATTTTCACTGAGAGGGCGATGTTTTGCCCGGAGTTTGCCTCTAAACAGGCTAAGATGACCCGATATATGAGCATGCCCAAGACTGACATTCGTCAGTTTGGTGCTACTTAGCAGTGTGATACCCTGCTAGAGCTGCAGGAGGCCAGCAGGCGGCGGGAGTTGGAGATTGTCCTGCAGTTGAGGAAGCAGCGGCAGGCCCTGACACAGTCTTAGCCGGCGCCGAAGCGGTCTAAGACCGCTGATTGTAGAGCAGGGGGACAACAAGGCCGCACTTGTGGCAAGTGCGGGAATGGTCATTCAGGGGATTGTAGGTCAGGTAGCGGATGCAACAAATGCGGCTAGAAGGGGCACTTCGTGAGGGATTGCCGCCAGACGACCCCGGTTCAGGATATGAGGATCTGCTACCATTGTCATCAGGTTGGTCACGTGAAGACCAACTGTCCGCATCTCACTGCTAGGCCAGCGCAGGCTCCAGTGCCGACTACACTTAGGATTATTGATGGGAGGTAGGGTAGAGCAGAGCTAAGGACGCGCCTTCCAGCTTACTGTCGAGGATGCCAAGGCAACACCGAATGTGGTTGCTGGTATGTTTCTATCCTTTGTCTAACTTATTGTATATGTTTGATGCTTACCTATTGTACCTGTGATTAGGTACGTTTTTAGTGAACTCCTTGCCTACATTGGTTTTATTTGACTCGGGTGCGAGTCAGTCGTTTGTATCTCAGACATTTAGTAGGGAGTTCAGTGTGACATTAGGCGAGCTAGAGTGCCCGTTGCGAGTCTCCATTGCCAACAAGCACGGGGTTTCTGCTTCTTCGGTCTACCGAGGATGTAAGTTAGAGATCTTCGAGGTACCCTTTCCGA